CTTTCTTCCTCACCGCCGCTGCATGCTCGGCCATTCTCGTCCGGAGTAATCTCCCGGTTTATCCGACGTACTTGCTTTGTCCACAACTGCACCAGGTCCGGTAAACGACTCCAGCCGTTTTCTGCCGTGGCAGTGAGTCTTTCGGTCTCATGACCCGGCGCCTGATGGTTGCTTCTGGCCTCTACGCAACTGCAACTCCAAGTGGAGTGAGCAAAAAACGTCAGGAAAATAAAACTCTCTTTCTAGTGATCGCATCTTCTCTTTCTGAACTGCTTCCTGGATGTCGCATATTCACTCCTGTCCTTAAGTATTCGTTAATGAACGCTCGTCAGTCGCTAACGGAACCCGCCCGTCCATTCTACCTTGGGGCTCAATCTCCAGCCTCACCAGCAGCCGCACAGCAACTAGTAATTAAGGCAGATTAACATTACTGGCAAAGACAGGAGAGATTGGAATGGCTAGTTCTGACTCTTTAGGTGTCATCAGACGGGCACATCCAATCTCAGATGCTGCATCGCTCGAGACTTGTTTAACATTGTTCGCCACTGCCCACTGGCACTATCTTCAGAACAGTCCTTGCTGGGTGCAGTGGAATAAAGTGAGGTGGATCCTGCGCAAGTCTACTATTACCATAAACTACTTCACGCGCAAGTCACCGTCCCAGCACTCACCCCGTATTGGGGCACACGGCGGACATCGTCGTTTTTGACGACTGAACTGGTATGGACGAATGAAAACATGAAAGAGATCAAACAGCTCTTCGGAAACGTCACTCCGAGAAAAGACAAAGGCTGCGGAACATCCTTGAACAACATGAATACGATTTTATGCCAGTTTGCCATGGCAAGGTAAACTGGCAAATTTTGAACCAAAGCAAAGGCACGTGGTTGACACCGATTGTGTGTGGTAAGGCCACATAGAAAAAGCGAAATAATCGAGTGTGAAAGGAGTTTCATCGTTTTGAAGGAATTTGAACCCACAACAGCAAGGGTAAGGCCTGCGTACAACCGGCACTTTAAACAGATGAGTTACGTGGCCCCTTCATAGAGTAGACAGTTTTATTACCTTTGGATCAAGCTACCCGCCCCGTTTACACCGACGTCTGTCCTCTATCAATTCGAATAACATAAGCTGACAGCCCAACCAGAGATTCCTAAACAATTTACTCGGGATTGAACAGATGACTATTGAGATAAGTTAATGCATAGGAGAGTTTCGACAGAGTTAAATCTGGAAAAAATCTCATCGCGAGTCTGTGGGACGCAGCTGTTCTTATACTCCTCCTTGCTGCACTAGACACTGCCAGAGAAAACGACCTGTTCTCGTCAGTGCACTTCTTATAATTAATGCATGGTTTTTTCCGAAGGGACGGTTAATAGAACGGACTTCCGTACAGCCGTTGACTCGGAATGAGCTGTCTTTTTACCAGCGCCTTGAATAAACCAGCCCTATGCAGCTGTTTTAGTGGGCATGGTCACCAGTACAAAAGCTTTCGACGCGAACTGACTATGCGAGCTATTGAACACGAAGCGGCAGCGCAAAACGGTATTCGAGTTCCAAAATTCGCTCTCCACCCTCGCGATATAAGCCCAACATTTGGCTTTGCTGCTGCCTAGATAACCATATGTTTCAATTTCGGGTCATTTACCGAACTTATAAACTATTTTTTTGATCTACGCCCTGTATGACAGCTCGTAGGCGTGAAATCCTAGTTGCAGATTGGCTATATCACCTCCTAAAGGTCTGGCTTCTGGCTGTCTTTTTTCGTATATTTTACAAGCACGCAAGACCGGAAATTTGCATGATTAAATCTCCCATTCTGACATTTAACCAGTGTCCAGATTTACAGTTACCATTAGGCTCCGCCTTGTCAAGTATGCACTATACCACCTTTACTGACAATATGTGCTCCTATCGGTTATTCTACGTAAGGTTCGTACTTTCGTATATGAATATGAGCACGCAGGGTTAGTACAACCACAGTTCAGTTTCACCCGACACAAGTGTCAGCCATTGATTGTCTATGCGTAAAAACGACAGTGATTTGTTTACATTCCAGCTAATTGACTTCGAACACACTTCAGACTTCCAAATTAGGCCCGCCGTGTATCCGCAGATAGTGCTTCGCGCATTTTGTCTCAGAGTGAACACTGTTCACTGCGCATATAGGTAGGCCCAACTGTATGCACTCGTCTGTTTACATGAAAAGTCGCCGAACTGTTTAAAAGTGCCACGTTGGTTAACGCTTTGGCCAGTCGTTTGGTAACTAATTCAACTACTTCTGACACGTCCTCTTATTGGATCTAGATACTTGGCCTTAACCGAACTACCTCTGCAGATAAGTATAAAACAAAACCTGTTCTTGCTTTAGGAAGTTAAGATAACGCTTTGGGCGCCATCATGCATGCGTTGTTGTTCTTTGCTTCCTTTCTATCCCTCTTGGCTGTCTGCTCGGCATGGACCACTGGCGAGACCTATATACTGAAGGCATTCTGGCACATCTGGAAGAAGGAACACAAGAAAGCATATGCCAGTCCCGTCGAGGAACAGCACCGACAAGATGTCTTCCTCAGCAATCTTGACTTTATATTTCAACATAACAGAAGGTTTTACCGTGGTTTGGAAACCTACCAAGTTCGAGTAAATGCTTTCAGTGACCTCACACCGCGCGAATTCGCCGACAGATACCTCTGTCTGCGAAGAACGCCTAAAAGCAAGTCGAGCAGTCAGTTGGCCACTTTCATTTCCGTTGATGGAAAACTTCCTGACAGCGTGGACTGGCGCAAGAAGGGCGCAGTCACACCTGTCAAAGATCAGGTCAGGTCTTGAATCTTAAAAAAATAAGTGGAGGATTTTACAAATCATCGATACTCAGAAGGATAATTTTGTTTGCTTATGATGCTGCTTTTTTTGTTTTTGCCATATATTGTCGACAGAGTACTGCCAAGAATATTGATTAAGATTAATAGAGACACGCAGGTATCTTTAACCCAGGTAGAGTTTCTTGCTTTTGTATCTGACGCATTTTGATTCTGGGGACAGACTAAGCATGGTATACCACTGAAAAAGTATTGGGAAGGTTATTTTCGAAGCCTCTGCGAAGAAGATAGTATTTTTCGGGTAAATTTGCTCGATTGGTACTTCCTGAATCTCCCAGAATATAAAATTTACATTTCTGAGCCTACCATTCCATCATAAGACGGAGTAACCAGAAATTATATCTTAAAACATGCGTTCAGACATAGTCATCAAACCGATATTTTTAGTCAGGAGCTGACCTTTTAACAAGTGATACTTGCCCGCATAATTGCCCGAAGAAAATAATTGCGCTAAGGCTCTTCCGTAAAGATCAATTCGGTATTGAGGCCGCATAATCGACTCAGTAGGTATTTTCGTGTTCGGAAGCACACAGCCGACTAATTTGGCAATAATCTCGAATAGTAAAAAAGATTAATACCAACCAGCTTCAGTAGTTGTTATTGAAAAATGTTATATGCAGTTTTTTGAAGTACGTTTTGATATGCACATAAACAACGGTTCGTCCTCTCTTATTAAAATCCTGTGCTTTACTCCACTAGTGTTTGAAATCTCCACTCCTAGTGGCCTGAAAACATGACAATGTCATGTTTTGTAATTATTAGCCTTATACAGCTGGTATTGCCTTCTATTAAACCTTTCTGATCCGCCGGTAAATTGCAGACAAAAATTCGACAGGCCTCGAAGCAAAAATGGACTTTCTCGAACCTTCTCTTTTCGTTAATTTTTCTCATTACAAGTGAGTGGTACAGTTAAGTGGAGGTCATTTATTTACCATCGCGTACTTACATACAGTGAGCAAATGAAACGGACGAAAAACACTCAGACTTATCTATAAGGGCAGACAGCACTTCAAGGTACGGTTGTGTAATGATAACTTAATCTGAAATAACTGCGAACAACTAATAAAACTCACGCATGCCTTCGTGTGTGGTAACTTGTTATTTAATCTGAAAGTATGATATTTATACTGGTTAGGAAAGTGCAGTTCTATTAAACTAATGCTCTGGTCACAATTACAGCTAATCGTGATATCAATTTATTGCACTTTATCCTTGATATCTTAGAAGGTCGATGTCTTAAGCTCACCTTCTCTAAAGTATTGTATTCGAAATCAGTATGTTACTCTGTGCTTAAGGCTAACCTATTTCGAAACGCAGTGCCTTTTACTCTTAAATATACTGAACTATACTAAGTTATGTGCCTTTTATTTTATTTTACAGAAGTCATGTGGCTCCTGTTGGGCATTCTCTGCAACCGGTGCCATGGAGGGTGCGATCCAGATAAAGACTCAGAAGCTACTCAGCCTGTCAGAACAACAGCTGGTCGACTGCAGTTGGGAGGAGGGTAATGAAGGTTGCGATGGTGGTTTTATGGATCAGGCTTTCAAATATGTTGAGAAGTATGGAATTCAATCCGAGAACACGTACAAGTACACGGCAAGGGTGAGCCTAACACGTACACATTTTAACTCAAGAAGCAATTTGCTTTTACTTTGCGCAGGACTCTGCTGCAGGCGGCCAAGTAAGTAAAACCCTAGCAACTGCGAACTTCAGACCCCGTTTCCTTAAGAGAAGAGAGGTCTTGGGAGACCAGAGTGGTAGGAACAGTATATTCTGTACAAAAGGGAACGGAAATAGGCAAGAAGAAATTGACTGTCAGACGAGCGCACAACCGCAGGCCACTGGACGGCGTCTGAAGTGATACTGCTCGGCAGTCGTCGTTTGAGGTCCTGTGATTAGCTGTTCCAGAGGCCGGAAGCAACAAGCAATCACAAGTGGACTGGAACTAGATGCGAAAAGCGTTCATAAGTGCGCTCCGTGTGGAACTAAGCACTACAAACGTGCATCGTTTTTCTTTAAGTTAAAGTCAGGGAACACTCCTGTTTTCCTATTAAAATTTATAAATAGAGATTTTCGCGTGTCGCTTGCAGTCTTCGGTTGGAAGCATTGACTTGTCTACCAATACTCGGACAAATGTTATGGTTAGGCCAGCAGGCAGTCATTTTTGCCCGCTTCTTCCATTATATTTTGGGTTTCTATGGGATATTTCAGAGGAGTACACGCCGTCTCTTGGATCTATCTGCAACAAAATATTTTTGAAAAAATAAGGTAACGCCTATCGGTTATTTTCCTTTTTCAAGGGGTTTACTCATATGCAGAAACTGTTTATCGAATAATTTTATCAGAGTATTCTCATATATTGATGATTACTGTACTTCATGTAGCTAATAAAAATCCAGTATTTGAGATAAAGAATAAGGGAACTTATACAATACGTTTCCAATCAATATAAATCGTAGCAGGCTACAGCACATATTCTTGCGCGAATGGTCGAAGTGTACTCTCCTTCCTAAATCAGTGGTGTGCCCTAGTAACTTTAAAGGCTAGGAACCTCAAGTTACAGGTGAAAAATTGTGTCTTCTGTCAACATATTTTTTATCTGGTCAACGACTCTTCTTCGGTAGCACAGCGGTCTGTGAATAACTCTTATTTGCCCAGATTATCATGTTTGCATTAATAATAATAAAGAGTTCGAAACTGTTTTTAATCTCACCTAAAAATCCCATAAATAGGAACGCTGAATGGCTCACTGAAGTTCTTCTCCGTCAGGAATTGGGCCCTTCTTGTCTGTTTTCTGTAAATTCGATTGACCAATCTTATGAGTTACCTCAATTTATTTCCGCTCTGCGTGTTCAATCGGGAGCTATAAAACCATAAATGTTATGCACATTATTCTCAGCGTGGGCTTAAATATATTTATAATAATCAATAAACCAATCAAAAAATCCGTTATTCTTTGAAGGCAATGTTAATAGCCAGAATGCGCATCTTAGAATGGGAGGTGGATGCGTTAATTACATGCTTAAAAACAGCATGCCAATAACAACGAGCAATGCCATAGCTGGTGGCTTTTCTTGAGTCAAAAGGATTATGACACGTAAATAGGTAATCCGCCACCCGATCAGAGAGGCGGCCTTGCGAAAAACCTTATGCATGTTGAACATTATGAAGTAATATCCCTTTGCTTAACATAAGAAAAAGCGTTAACTTAAACTTTAGCCTTACCTTGAAACTAAAGCCAGTCTCCGTGTAAATTAAGGTAAAAATCCTGGACGAGGGGATTTCCGTTTCCATGTTGTACCCTCGACATATTGGAATTTGCTTTCAGAGGTAGAAAGACGCCAGTATACAATCTACCCATAGTGTGAAGTTTAATTTCATGTTTGTCCTAATTCAATTCAAGAGAAGACTTCAAAGTTTGTGTAAACCTAATGGGACATTGTTGGAAGGATAATTTTTTAACCATTACACTTATTTAATACATAGAAGTAACAAAGCATTTCAATTCATGCGTTTTACATAATTTAGGATGGCCATTGTAAATATAACAAGTCCCTGGTTGTTGCCAACATAACTGCCTATAAAGATATCCCCGAGGGTAATGAGACAGCTCTTCAACAGGCGCTGGCCACAGTAGGCCCCGTATCAGTGGCAATTGACGCTGACGATCCCGGATTTATGTCCTACAGGTCGGTTTAAAAAATACTTAATATTTTCGCTTAACGCTTATTCTGTATATCAACCTTTTATCCGGGGCTTATTATAGGATTTTTGCTCTGTTACAAAAAGAAGTAAAATGTATTTTATCGTGATTTTTAAATACTTATTATTTGATTGGAAGCAATAAACCTCTTTCTAAATGTCTTACTAACATAAACATTGATATAATGTGTAGTGAACAATTGAATACAATCGCTAGTTACCTTTTTATCTGCGTTGCATGGAAATCGACTTTCTTGTACTAAACGATTAAAAATGATTTTCGCACTTAAGAGTCCAACGTTCTCCTTTCAATCTGTCTCTAGCGTAATTATTTTATTTCATAAAATAAAGGACGAAGAAGAACCCGGAGGTTTTGTGATTTTGACTTGCGTGCGTATTCCAGGGAGAAAATTCGTCATCTAAAGTATTCCTTAAGTAAAAAGGACGAGTTAGAAACAGGACACTAAAGGTACAATTACGTCGCTGTTTGCTTCCAGTTAACCGCAACTGCCTACCAAGTTAGCCACCTTATTGGGGTGCTCCTCCATAAAGGAAATTTTAAGGTTTGAGATACTCAGTTCTTTGGCCCTTCCTTCGCATTTTACACAAAATAACGTGGTTAGCGTAAGAGAGGTGGATATATTTATTTATCTCTTAGCTTACCTTGCGAGTTGGATGCTATTGAAGAATCCTGTGGTGGATATTGCTGTGATCAGCAAAACTATATACATATTTTCCACACACCCTCATGTTTTGCTCCCGAGTGTTACGAAAAGGTGCAACCGTCTTTTAAAACTGCCTGCTGTTACCCTCATTTGAGGCAGTAGGTAAACATTAAATGGGTTACCCTTAAGGGTCTTTCATACCATTAACTTTATGAGCACAATATATTGTTATCGTTCCTGGTTTGTGAGTGTCTTTAAGTTTAAGACAAATAGAGTGAAAGTTTAAGTTAATGACTAGAAATTAGAGTTGACGTTATGATTTAACGTCTGTATTAATGGAAGGAGTAAATGAGGTGTTGCGTGAAGGCAATAGGAATTACAAGGAGGAGTGTACAACTTTGAATAATTCCTTTGGTTCAGTTTTGAATACCATGGTGGCACTGACGGTGTCATCAGTTAGCACAAACAAATAGTAAAATCGACGGGTTTTATCAGAAGAAAATAGCTTGCTTCCTGCATTAGGACAAGATGATACCCATGGGTCAAAGAAGGGGGAAAATGTCAATACCTCCTGGAAAGCCCACGTTTAAGAAGAATCAACTTAATGGATTTCCTCCATGTCAAAATACCTACCAATTTCATGGAAGTACTTCTTAAAATACTATATCCAACATTTCGAGTTACGATATGCATACAACTGAACTTAATTTCAGTGTTTGGGGAAGCAAAAAATATTGCCACCTGGTTAATGCAGTTGTTTCAAGTTTAAATATTGTAAGCCATTCACCGGACAAATGTGCACTTATGAGAAGCTGGAAAATTGTTAAAATTCAACAAAATAGGTGGGATACATACGATAACAAAAGAGCAATTAATATATTATGGCATCTTATTTCGTTCAGTATATTGCCGTAAGGAAACGTTTGTCATAAACAATTTTTTAAATCAGTAAAATTAAACCAAATATGCTCTTCAATACAACCTATAAATAGGTGTCAAACTCACATCTAGAGACTATTGGGCAGATTCGTTTAAGGTAGTATTTAATAGTTTGATATGCGCATACATGTATGGCAATTCCGATTAATTTTTTTTATTTTTCAGCCATGGCGTGTTTTTCAGCAAATCATGCTCATCAACTGAACTAGATCACGGAGTTCTGGCTGTTGGATATGATACGGAGAATAATGGTATGCCCTACTGGCTGGTGAAGAACAGCTGGGGACGCAACTGGGGCGATAATGGCTATATAAAAATGGCCCGCAATAAAGGGAACATGTGCGGGATCGCCACGGCCGCGAGCTATCCTATTGTTTAATTGCCTGGGTAGAGGGTTGACGTCTCAAGGTTCTCAAGGACCTTCTCCTATTTCATCACGAAAATACTATCGCCGATTTTCCATTTCATTACTCTAATATAATCCTCGGTCTTCCTGCAAGGTAATCTAATTGTTTTCAACACTAGAAAACGGCAAATAGGGGTGGGGTAAGCAAAACACAATCACTCTGTTTGTCAGAGCGTCGACAGAATTTATATAGAGGTACTGATCGAACTACGGTTTGCCAATAAGCCTACTTTGATAACACTTTAGATTGATATTTTGGGTTTGCTGGCTATAAATAAGGACGAATATAACTATCTTTGGTTGGTACAACAGTGGGCTTGCATATATGTTAGAAACGAGGTTTGGCTGGTCAGACCCCCTTTTAAGACTATGAGCAGAATAAACAGATAAAACTTTACCTGACAAGCAATGTAAACTTACGCAAAAATGTAGATGCGAGTAACAAATAAGCGTCATAAAGTGAACCTTTTTCGTGTTTGGAAGACTATATCAACCCCGTCTGCTTTCCGGACCAAAAAAAACAGTCATAAGTCAGCGCTTTTAGCAATCTAATAATCAACAACTTTCGTTACATTCCATGTAATTTCTGAGTATTACCAGCATAGTATAATAATTATTAGGTTCGAAAATTACCTTTATGTGAAGGGAAATATTTTAAGAGAATTCGCTCACTAAAAGATCAAAACTCGATGGGAAGGTACCGTAGGTGACTTATGTCATAAATTGTTGGCAAAAATTCCTAATTCTGTTATAGCTTAGAAGCGATTGCTTGGCTTATATTGTTATATTGATTATTGTGATTATTTAACTTTCTTTATTCCGATTAACATTCCATTAGATGTATCAGTTACTCTAAGATGATAAAAATAGCAAAATGTATAACTATAAAGCATGTTGAAACGCGCACAAATACGCTGCCCTCTGTTAAATTCCTTGCAACTTGCAATCCTCACTAGTATACACAACAAGAAGACGCATGCTTTCCTAAATCGTCGGTAGAACTGCACAAATGAAACTAGGTTTTGATTTATTGGCCGTGCGTAAGCCGTTTAAGAATTTGTTCATAGAGCATACCGCTCGCGAAGTACGTAACAATGTTCCAGAAAGCTGTCTGGAATCAGATCATTTAAGCGTCATGATGAAAGTTCACTCGAGCAGAAACATTATGAATCGGGACCTCCAGATTTTTCGAGACCGCTTTGATTCTACAGCCTTACGAGGCAAAACACATTTCCACCTGATTGAGATGCGTTACCTAAAAGGGTATGTTTTGGATCCAGTTGTGGATGTGCTCAGACCGCAAAGTGTCAGTTTACGGAATAAGGCAGTCAACACGAAAATGAGGGGTTTACTCTGAACAGACTCTGTATTGTCCCAGCAATCGAGTCGTCGTCTTCCTAAGACTTGCATGTTCGTTTGTGTTGGCAATTTATTTTGGCACAATGCCTTCCGATCGGCCCGACGTTGGGAAAAGTGTACCTCCACCTACTCGCAGATCAGGTATCTTGACAATAACGTGTTGCCGAAGATTGTTAAATACAAAACCCATATCTGATACTGCTTTCTGCTTATCGCCCTGATGATGAAGCCGCGATGGGCCTCGAAATGTCAAGCGAATAAAAGTATTGTCCCAGAGGTCGAGTCGTCTTCTTCTTCGCAGACCTTATATTGTTTTCTCAGGCAGCAGTAGGCGCTATGAGGTCCTGAGGGTGTTCAGTTCTATCTGAGACAGATCAAGTTTATGTCTTTTTTGTACAGTGTGTGCCGAGGGGTGGTGTGTCTGGTTGCGTATGTTAGATTGCGCAACGGGCAGCGAGTTTCAGTAGAATATGGACAGCGGCCACTCTTTACAGGCACCGGTGAAATAATAGCAGTCTCTGCCTCTGAAATTACCCAAGGGCAAGCTGATTGGTCTTGAGGCATCAGTGCGTTGAACAGAGACGACAGCCACAGCAAGCACGCCTATCGACTCTAGATACCAAATAAAAGCCTAAACACACACTTGGTCTATTCTGCGACATTGTACGGCAAGGGTGCGCGAGCCTCAGATCGTTAACATAAATGAGTACGCCTGTTTTTTTTTGTAGACACCCCTAGTGAGATTAACTATTCGTAGCTTTATCAGACGATGAGATATGTGTCCTTAGCTTTGAACTTTAACTTGTGTTAGAAGTATAAGAAATCAATGTCAACTAAATTAAGCAAATCTGCCAAAACGCCCTAACGATTAAGTCAGTCTGGTAGTAATTCTGGTGGATTCTAGATGATTGCTTAGGAACTCCTGCTTGGGCAGTCAGGTTGCTGTTCCATAATGGCGGATTCCATACAAGCGGTAAGTTGGGCGTGTAAAATCGATCTAAGTGTTACTAAATTCATGAAGCACGGCGTGGCGTCGTAGCTCAATTCGGTAGAGCGTTGGCTGCGTAAAGGCCTTCATTGTTGTGCGGGTTCGACTAACGCCGACGCCGCGAGGGTTTTTCACAATTGGGTCAACTAAATGTCAATATACTTTAGTAGGGTACGCCCCTGCTAACAAGAACCAACCTTAATAACGATAAAAGAACCACCAGTAGCTTGAAAGATTTGTGTAACTACGGATAGTTTGACTTTATTTTTATACAGTATCCATCGTCATCGGACTAGAATAATTGAAAATAACGTGAAGACCGAATATTTTAGCCGATGTTGTTATTGTTTTAACGTAACTACTTATTTGATTTAGGAAGGTAGCTTTATTTGTGTTTGGCTTGCCGGTTAACTTACGAAAATGAAGTCATAGGATATGCTATGTTATGTTATGTAAATGGAAATAAGAAAAAAAGTGTTTTCGAATAGAAAAACTTACTTACGTCGAGGTGTAAGTTTGATTATCGTAAAATATAATTAGCAAGGCACGTTTTGCAGATGTGTCTAATTCATTTGTTTCAATTATGAAAATCTCCCTCTGAGGCCGACAAGTTTTTCACAATTTGATGAACTGAATGTTCAGGATGCGAATTTATGAACGGACTTCTATTGAGGCGCCTGCATATACCTACATTCTGTGAAATGATCAGTTAAGAAGCAGAAAATATCCGCTTGATTTTTTATATGCCTGTAAATTCAGGTGTATTTTGTAGAAAACTACACAGAAGTATTAATGGTGTACTCATTTGGTAGCATATTATGTGTTTAGATTTAATTCTTTGTTGCTACACATTCCTTTAGGATTTCTAAACTACAGCCTATATGTTCTCCTTATAAGTAAAAACATGCATTCGTAAGGGTTACTAAGAGGACGTTATAAATGGCCCATAAAAGTTTGTAATGTGCTTTATACTTTTAAAAAAAGCATTTTAAGTGGATATTGAGGAAATGCTTTAAGATTGGGTTTTTTCTATTCTTAATAAATTGCCGGTGCTCCATCAGCCTTCTGGTTCGTTAATGCGAATATCTTGAAATTGGACATTTGGCATGCATTTGAGTACTGCTAAAACGTTTCAAAACTCTCAACCACCCTTTTTGAAGAATACGATCTCCAGAAGGCGTAATTCGTTACTAAAAGAGTGCTCAAGAGGATATTTTGATTCATGAGTTGTATAAATTAAAAATGGTTTCTACCATAAGGATAAAAACTCATTCTACGTAAGAAGTTAAGCTTGGAGTGTATTTTTTGGAAGATATCAAAAGGGCTCTTTCAAAAGTCGGCATCCGGATAGGACGGTAATAGCTGTGGATCATGTCGTACGATAAGCAGTGAAACAAATAAACGTATGCAATCCTTTATAATCGAAAAAACATTTTTTTGCGAATCTGAGGTGTCATTTCAGAAGAAAGGTCATTCAACGCACATTTACGATTAGATTTAGGTTTAAGATTAGGATATAAAAATAGGATTAAGGAAAGTGTTGAGGTTTGGGTTCGCGTTAAGTTTAGGGTTCAGCTTAGCTGTCGCATGCTGTCTTATCCAATCCTGTCTATTTCAGTCAATAAGCTTTTATTGCCAGCTTCCCGTCTGAATGCGCTCCCCATCCACAGCTTTCGTATTTTGCTGTCTGCTGTGGCTTTTTTTGAATTAATAAAACAAACGCATGTCGGAAATTTCAGTTTTCAATACTTTCCACGGACGACAGTATGCGGCAATATTCGCATAACACCGTCAAGTCTGCATGCAAACCCTTGCGGCTCGTGAAGCGTTTACCCAACGGGCCCGTAAGTTATACTGCGTGCAAGGAAAAAATAAATCCTTTAAAGGAGGCATATATAGATGCGTAAAGTATGATTTATTGTCTAAGCCCTTATTTGCTTTACCGAAAACTGTCAAATCCAAAAAGGGTTGTAAGAGAGGTCAAGGATAAAAAGTCGTTATATGTGAGTGACAAAAGTGTAAGAAAATAAGATAAAAGGACAAATATGGAAAAGTTATAAATACTTAACGTACTACTATTTTGCTGCGTTTCTTTTAGCGTTTATACCGGCTGTAATTCGGGAGGGAATAGAGAAAAATATGTTGTTTATTTTGGTTTGGTCTATATAAATATTAAGGAAGAACTCCAATTTCTGTTTTATTGAAAGATGTTTCGGAGACTTGTCCCAGTTTCTCTTGATTAAGGCGAAAATATTTTCAATGGGATTGAGGTCGGGACTGTTTGGAGTGCATACCGTACTTTAACTGCCGCGTCCATGTCCCCTTCCAATAAAGTAAACACTGTTATCCTTTGGCTTTACGAGGGTTCCTGCGCTCTATTTTGTTCATTGCTCTTATATCATTAATCTTCGCATAAAATAACTTACTTTCACAAGAGGTAAATGTAAATTAATTGTTAGTGCTTCCGGTTTTCTCTGATCCCTGGAGTGTATTTGATGTAATGGGTCAGAGGTCTTGCTTAGGACTGCACGGAAAGGCAAAGCATTTGGGAACCCTTGGTTAGAATAGAATAATGACCAATGCTGCTTAGATTTATAACTTTGTCGGGTGTTTTTCCTTCAAATGT